AAGGGTGGAAAAAAATTACAGGAACTTCACAATTTTGTTTGAAATAGAAAATATTATTTTGTTGCAAATTTTGAAAAAATTGATATTTGCGTTCGTTGGGATCGTAATTTATGTTAAAAATTGCATAAATTAACAAATATTTAAAATAATTATTTTTGTTAATTAATGTAAACTAAAAATTATAACTGTCTTAACCTTATTTGTATTTTAACTTAAAATATTAGTTTTTTGTATATTACTTTGAGCATTTTTAAATGCAAATATAGTAAGTGAACTTAAAGTATTTGTTTGGAAAGTTTTGCACCAGTTTAAAAAAAATAAAAACATATTTTAGGAAGATTTTTTTATGCCCAAAAAATATGAAAGATTAGGAAAATATTTTTTTTGAACAGGTAGCAGGTATTGGTATTGGTGTATTTGTTTAATAAATTTTGCAACAGTTTAAAAAAGATAATACGGGAGGGCCACAAATAGGTATTTTTCTTCTACAGAAATATGTATTCACATAGGTAGAGTATCTAACATTCATTAAAAAACGCGAAAGATTAAGAAAATATTTTCTTGAACAGGTAGCAGGATTTTAGCGCCCTTTCTACTGTGCTAAGTAAGCAGAGATATAATTTAAGTGAAAAAAATATTTCAGCAATGTTATTAATAAGATTAAATGAAAATTTATTTCAAAAAATATGTAATAAAAATTATATATTTTTTAATAAGAAATTAAAATATTAAATTATTAAATTATTTCAATAACTTTGTAAAATTTAAACTGTAATTAAAGATAAAAAATTAAGTGAAATCTAATAACAAAATTAATTTATGTTGTTGTAAAAAATATTTAATTTGCTTTTTATAACCTTACTAACGAATCTTAGTGTACAACTTACTATTAAATAAAATTTTATGAAGTAGTCCAAAATTGATATATTTAATTTTTTCAAAGTACGATCCGTAGAACCGATCCTCTTTACTTATAACATTTCGAAACAAATACTCTTTCTCTATTAAATTCATGTACCTATTTAATATAACAAAGTTTTCAATTAAAATCTGTTTTGTTTTTTAAGAATGTTAACTTTTATTTCGTGCGTTATTTTTTAGTATAATTCTATACGTATTTCGGCAAATTCGCTTTTGCCTTCATCAGGAGGATTCCTAAAGTTTTCAAGTACATTGTGAAATTAACTTTATTCCCATGTTTTAAATTAATAAACCTTAAAATAATAAGTAATATAAGCAATAAATGTAAATCTAATAATAAATTCAAAATTAAAATATAAATACAAAATTATTTCTTCAATAAAATATTTCGCATTAAGACCAAAATTAATACAAATCAGTTTTCCGTACTATTTTGCTGCGATATTTGTCATAATATTGTGCGCTTTTAAATCATCATTTTACACAAACGTGCAGTAGACATTTCGTCTCCGCACATTTGGGTGCATTTTTATTTTCGAGCCTGCACACAAAATGTGCTTCTCGTATTCTTTTCTGCACACGTTGTGTGCGAGGGCAAGTTGGCTGCCGCACACACAATGTGCTGTGCGAAATAACTTCGGCACAAACACCGAATGCGTGTGCGAGTTTTATTTCACTCCACCACACTCGTGTGAAATGTGCGTTTCGTTTGTGCACACAAGATGTGCACTTAAGATGTGCACAAAAATTTTCGCACACCACATTTGTGGTGTGAAATTTTAGAATCGCACAACATTTGTGCGTGGTGTTTTGCATTTTTGTGCACAGCACAGTGTTTTTCTGAACCCTGCTTGGAGTCTTGTAAATTTGATATGAAAGTTTATTAATAAATTTACTTGCCAGCATAAACCAGCTATAGAATAATTTAATTAATATATTATATTTTTATTTTAATTGTTGAATTTTAAAAAATTTAATTGTATTAAAAAAAAAATTTTTTGGGCCCATATCTATTCAAAATTTTCTTTTGGGTACTTCAGTTTAAGTTACTAACCGGTTTTTATATATTGTATCTATTGATATATATACTTAATATATACTCTTATTATAACTATCAGTTTGTTATGAATTTTTTTTAATTGTATATGTATTCCATTATTTTAACTATTATTATAGTCAATAGTTAATGCTACCAAGTACACTATTCCTATCATTTGAGATTTTAAGATCTCATTGAGATTTATTCAATTTATAAAAAAAAAACATATACAAGAACTACTTTAAAACTGTTTGTTGGATTTAATTTATATAAAATATTTATTGATTTGAAAAATTGTTGGATTGAGAAAAACTGAAGTACATAAAATCGGAACAATCTAGATGAAAAAAAAAAGTTTAGCACGATGTTCACACAAGCGCTCGAAATAGACTCGTAATATAGAAATAGACTTCGTAATCGAGATTTTAAATCGTAAATCGTTCACACTAAAAATAATGCAATTCATTCTACGTTTTGATTTTGTTTTGATTATGCTTCGCTTGCCTAGTTATCCGTTTTAAATCACAGATCAGAGTTGCCATATAAAAAAATTTATTGAAATATTAAATTTGTTATAATTGACATTTAACCTTAAAAAAGGCATTATTAAAAATAATATTATTTAAGTTCAAATTATTAATAAATAAATCATATATTATACTGTAAATTTTTTCATATATTCATGCATATTATTTATGCGAATTAATTCATTAATTTTAATTAATAAAGAAGACATTGTGGGTTCAAAATTGTGTTTTAAAAACAAAACTGATTTCTTTTCTAAAGAATTAGTAGTCTTTCTCATATTAAAAACAAATTAGTTAAATTAAGAATTAAATACTATTCCTAAACAATTTATTTAACAATCCTCAAAGTGTTTAAATTTAGTTTTAATACAAATACATCAAAAAACTAAATATATGTGACCCCTAACTTCGATTTCCATAACATACAAGATATTTTCGACCATTGTGTACTCATAAATTAATATATACGAATACCTCCTCATTTTTGTTTTTTTTTTTGGCTATTGATGAACTTATTATATGCTAACTAACAAGCGTTAAATTAATTTCTAATCACATAAAAGTATAATAAGAAGTTTTTAAATATTTCCTAAATAAAAATAAATAAATAAAAATTATTTTGAAAATCACTGCCTTTACTAAAAATTTTTTACGCTTGTCAGCTTTAGGTATTTCAGTTCGTATTTAATCCTTATTTTGAGAAATAAGCGCACAACATTGAAAATGTGTCAAAATGTGATCTGACAGATTTACGCATTTCCTGAACTATTCGGTCTACTTCCTTATCTTTCTATTAAATAGGATTAAAAATAATAATTGAAATGTATCACTTAATTTGCACATTTGTGTATTTGATTTGTATACTTTATAGGTGATATAATAGTTACTAGGGTGCTTACACTATATATTTTGGTATTCTTCAGTGATATACTACCCATATTTTTTTTTTGCACATCACCTCAATTTAAAAAGGATTGGCAAAAAAAGGTTGTTTAAATTAAGTGAGAAAAGATCAGCTTCCAAAGAAGTCTTAAAGAAAAAATATTGAAATAATTAATTAAAAACAATATTCTTTCTATTATAGATTTAATCTCTGCCTTAAAATATTTAGTAAAAGTCTTGAATTGTACGTTGTAATACTACTTTATAATACTTTATATTATTATTATTATAAGTATATATATATAATAATTATATAATGCATAACTTTAAAAACTGCTAACTTACTCTAACGGATCTTGTAGACTTTGTGAGAAAGAAACTATTAGAAATTTGCCAGGCACTGAAGCATAAACGAAGGAAACATCTAAGTATGCTCCTTATATGATATCTAAAATATGGGATCCGATTAAGTGGATTTATCATTTGAATTGGTCTAGAATTTTTTAAGAGACCACAACAGATTCGTATGTCACACAGCAAAATCTTGATCACACTGCTCACTAAATATTGTATAAAATATTTTAATTATTTAAACTATTATAAATACTCATATGTAGCATGAATGTGCTATGATAAATATATTTTGAATTAAACATTATAATTTTTGTCATATAATTTATAATTTATGGCCTGAAGATTTATTGATAAAAATACATGATCACTGTATTTTCAACATATACATTTTTTAATATATATATAAAGACATTTTTCTAAACTTAATATGGTGCTTCTAATTTAATGCGTTTATACATAAAACCATTCTTATGTTTTCATGAATACTAATTAAGTTGTTATATATTAAAAAGTCATTTATTTAATTATGTTAAATTGCATATTTTATTGTGAAGAAGTGGTAACGGCTATAATTCTACCTACGAAAATAATTATTAAAGGAAAGTATTTACAAAAATAATAAACATTTAAAAAAAGTTATAAAGAGGGGTTTCGAAAATTAGTGAACCACAACAACAAGAATTCATTTCATTTTTATATTATTTTAATTAATTGATTTTTAGCTGACAGCTGTTTCGAGTATTGCCAAATACCCATCATCAGTGGTCTTGGAAATAATTCTTGTATTTAATTTGCGTAAATAATTTTTCGAGACTGCAAGTACTAAGAATCGAACTTATGTCCTGCCACATTTGAAACTCAGAGTCAGCGCACCTAAACCAACCTACCCAAAACCGTACTTGGCTTTTATGTTAGCACATTTTTCTGGAGTTTTGTTAATTTGCTGTGAAAGTTTTATTAATAAATTCACTTGCTGTGTTTATATTAGAACGAAATCATAAACCAGCTGTAGAATAATTGAATTAATAAATTATATTAACTGATTATATGAAAAAGTTATTAACAATTTTTGATCAAATTAAAAAAGCAATTATTTAATTTTTTAAGCATTTTATTTAACAATTGGCATAAATCTAATTTTCATTTTTACATATAATACAAATTTTAAAACATAGTTAAAAACAAAATATAAATAATAAAATTTATCTACAATAAAACAAGAACTAAGCACATAAATTTACAATAAGTTATATTTAGACACAATTCAATTCTCAATTTTAATGCGTTTTAATCGCACAAGAGCTCTCACAGATATTGGTGGTTTCCTTGCTATGGGGACAACAGCATTGATGTACTGGCGATAATGTTGTCTGTCTTTCAGTTGATGATGAACTAGGACTCATACAATTTTCTGAGAAACCAAATGTGGGACTCTCAGAGCCACCTTTCTTTTGCTTAACACGACGATTTTGAAACCAGATTTTTACTTGCTTCTCTGATAGTCGCAAGCGATTCGCAATTTCTATGCGACGCAAACGTGATAAATAAGCGTTCATGGAAAACTCACGTTCCAATTCCAAAAGTTGAGTACTTGTAAAAGCGGTACGTATACGTTTACTGGAATCAGCATAATCCGAAATCACTGGCAATAAGTCCATTTCAGTCTTTATTGTATTCTTATGTATAGGCGTTATACAACTATGTACACTGGATTTAATGGGTGAGCTGGCAGGTGAACATGAAGACTCATGTTTGAAGCGTTTGGCTGAATGATTCTCATCGTAACTGGGAAAGTCATTAGTAGAGGCATTTGATGAAGCCGATGGTGATGTGCAAAATCCATCTGGCAACGAAGACATTGAAATGCCATTGTAAGGCATTGCAGTTGGCAGTTGTGATGGAGGCGAGTAATTATCAAAACTTGCAGATTTTTTTTTTTGTGCTAGAAGTGTGGCATAAGGATGAAAGAGTGCTGTATGTTGTTGTTGCTGATGACGAAATGCTGCAGCGGCTGCAACAGCCTGCTGTTGTTTTTGTTGTTCCTGTTGTATGCCGAGTGAAAATAAATAACTTCCAACGTAACTTGCTGGATATGATAGCATTGGTATATTTGGTAGTAAAGTTGCAGCAGCTGCAGCGGCTACTGCTGCCGTTGTATTTTTGTTTAGAACATCTTTAGGAGATGCTAACTTCTCCTTTTTTGTTAAAGGTACATCACTTAATAATGAATCCACTAAAAATGAGCGCGACATTTCGATATGTGTTTTCGTATAGAATTTTCTAGTAGAATTTGTTACTACTTAACACGATCACTGTTCTGCTAAAACTGTTGCAAACTCAGTTGTGATCCTGTCTTTTATAACAGCTACCATACAGGGTAGTTACAAAAATCTACCCTTAAGTATTACAGACACTTGCACATTTCCTACCACAACAAATTATAATTTGAGGGTTGGTTTTTTCCCTTTTACATCACCATCATCCATACCAGCCATTTAGGAACTATTTAAGCACTCTTAACAACCAATTGACAAATTATAAATAGTTTAGTTGTGAACCCTCTTTAACATTATTCTTGTCTTGTAATCATCTGCATTTGTTGTTATTTTCGCTCCGCCCTTGTATATGTGATGTTTTTTCTTCTCAAGAGAGATCAACAGCATATTCCCATTGATTGGGATGATGGAAACAATGGCAGGTAAGCGTTCAGGTAGCCTTGCTAGAACCATTCATTCATTTTTTCCATATTATCAGCAAATAAGTTTGTTTGGCTTTTGCCAATTTCATTTTTTTAATTAAATTCAATTTTCATACTTCATGGTTATCATATATAATGAAAAATTGATTTTAATATGCTTTTGATTTTTATTATGAATATTTTTAATTTAAAATTCTAATTAAACTATATATGATATTGGCATAAAACCAATAGTACAATATTTAAAATCAAACCCATGGAGCGTTTTTATAAGTTATAGTATTTGAAAAATGTATTCGCTTTGCACAAATAAGTAAACAAATTATATATAGACTATAAACAAATTAAATAAATATCGAATATAACTTGGCAATATTCGAAACAGCGTTGTATAGTCAGCCAGATATCAATAAATTAAACCAAATTTTGTTATTTCTTCTTCATTGCTGTTCGAACCCTTTTGGCATGTGTTTAATTAAAAATTATTATTATTCGAAATATTGCTGACAATAAAATATATATTTTTAAATAAAAAAAATTTTTCTTCTCTTGTTTAAAAATATATAATATAATATTTTATATAATATATAATTTTTATATAAAAAATATTGTTGTTAGCTTGTGGGAGAATTTTATTTTGTAATCTCTGAATTTTATCCAGATTGTGCTAAATCCACATTATTAATTTTAACTATAGGGCATGTTTCTCTCCTTAGAGTAAAAGTTGCTTGAAAGCATTTGGTTTCATTCATCTTGATTCCCTATTTAGAAAGCCACTTTTCGATCAATCAAGATTAATTTTGTGATGCTATAGTGTAGGTACTGTGGAATGTCAACCGTATAGATTAAGTATAGCAACGGCCTAAGGACACTACCATGAGGAATGCCAAACAAAACACAATAGGGTTATTCACAAGTTTAGGTAACGCGGTCGGTAACCAAATAACTTATTAAAAGTGCAAAGCAACAACAACAAAATACATGTCTAGCAAAACGTTGCAACGTTACTACGTTAGTCAAGCATTAGCTTTGACTAATATTTACGTTGCACTTCTACTATATTTTCAATTTTGCCATCTTTCTTATACAAAAGAAAATAGTTTACTCTGAAAATGGTAGCATTTTTTGATTTATTTAATATTTCATTAAGTGTTATTAAAAAATTGTTATAAAATATTAAACAATTTTTATATTTACCATAATTTTTTTTTTTAAGTAGCAAACAAAACTCGCTAATTACGAAAGAAAACATGTGAAAAAACAACAATGCTCTTAAAATCTTCAGAGTTAAATTTTACTCGCAAAAATTTTTACGTTTTAAGTTTTAGTGCGTCCAAAAATCAAAAATCAATCTATTGTGAATGTCCACTAGAAGCATTTTGCAAAATTCTAGTCATTCACTAATAAATATACATTTTATATATTTTATATATATTTATATATATCACATTGCACACAGCACAACAAAAAACATATGTAATAAAAAACATTTCACATATTTAAAAAGTTATGCTAATATGTTTCTAACAGACAGCTGTTTTTTCATAACTCTGAAAGTAAAAATTAATGCCATTATAAAAAATTTTATATTATATGAAGCCATTTTATCATATTTAGACTGCGTCTTATCAAAATGTCAAGAATTGTTTGCTTTTTTCACTTGACTTCGACATATTTATATCAGAATCTCTTTTATTTTCACAATAATTTACAAATTCATTAAAACACAGCTGATTTTCATAGCTGCCGTAAACAAATCGACACAATCAGGTGTGCTCACGAGCTAGTGTAACTGGTTGTACTTTTACTCGGGTATCGAGAGCGTTACTCGAACTCGTGATTTATTTGATTCTATATTTTCAATTCCATACTGTTTCAGGAAATTGCACCTCGGCGGTCCCGGTACTTGTTATAATATAATGCATTGTGGGTACATAAATAGTAAAAAAGCATGTGAAGATCACTTGGTGTGTATTTAATGCACTATATTTTTAATATATATGTAAAATAATTTATATACAATTATAACATATTTATTAAAATAATATCATAAAACTGTAGTAAAGTAACGTTAACGCAATATTACCAATATTGTATTGCGTATAATTATCAACCATCTACATACAAATAATATAATCTGTTACGCTTACCAAAATATTTTAATATTTAATATACAACAACCATCCAGCATCGTAAATGAGCATATATATATGAATTTTTCATAAATATATACCAAATGCTTTACGATTATGCTTGACCGCGAAACGATCGCTTAAAACTGACGTTGGCAACTCTGCACTTATGTACAGCCAACTTCTAACCAAATCACAGCTTTTTTGAAGTTCTAATTAATTTCTATTTGGCACAATTTATAAAGATTTTCTTTGTGTGTGATTTACTTATATAAACAAATTATGAGATCAAATATTCCGAAAGGATGCGAGGACTTTGATTTCAAAGAGGCACTTCAATTTATCGTCGATGAGGAAGAGGAAAATGTTGAAGATGAGGATTTAGAGAATGGCGATGATGAAGATGCTGATGAAGAAAGTGACGAAGAAGACAATGGAGAAGATAACGATGGCGAAGATAATGAAGAACAGTTTATTGAAGAGTTAGAACTAGATGAGAACGCAACAGCGTTTACATTTAACAACCATATATTCGAAATTACAGTTTGCGCTCTACATCCTCACCGAAAAATGGCAATTACCACCGACGGAGAAGATCGCGTTTTTTTGTGGGATACAGTTCATGCACAAGTTGTACAAACCGTTTTATTCCACCGTGACAAAATAATTTATTTGGAATTTTGTCATGATGGCACGTATTTAGCAATAGGTTATATTGATGGTGAGCTCTTTGTGTTTAAAGTATTACCACCTCCAGTTTCTCAGCCAGAAGACTGTATACCTCCTTCTGTACACCTACAAAAAGTGTGGCAAAAATCAACAAGTTTATTAGTTTGGTTACGCTGGCATCATACTGCATATGTACTATTTGCAGGCGATTATACTGGCGAAGTGTTTATTTTTGATATACAAAACTGTGATGTCAAGTTATTACCAAGAGAAGATGAAACCTCTAAGAATGCTCAAATAAGTCACGATGGTAAGAAACTGCTTCTCTCGTATGACAGCAAGATAAAACTATTTGACATAGAAACTTATAAAGTTTTATGGGTTGTCAAAACTAATACCCTACACAAAGCAATAGCATGTTCTAAATATCATGCAACATATATATCCGGTGGGTTTGACGGTAAGAGTTTGTTTATTATTTATAAACACAAGTTTAGTATTATCATCTAGGTCAAGTAAATTTTTTCAATGATACTGGTATTCATGGCATTGCACAAGTTAATGGAGATATTCTGTTCTTTGCTTTTTCACCATCTTCACATTCAAAATTAGTCGCAGTTTGTTCATATCTTTATGAAGAAAGTGGAACTCGCAGTCAAATTACTGTGTGGGATTGTAGCACGCATTCTTTATGTACCAGTTTTTATATACCCTCACGTGAGAATATATTATGGTGTGTTCAAAATCCAAAGGAATAAAATGGGTTTTATTCTAATTTTATATTTTCTAACTTTAGTATGGAATGGATAAGTGACTATGTCTTACTAACATCAACTATATCTGGTGATTTCATTGCATATGACTTGCAGAGTGCATCTAAAATACTTACACTAAAGGGAGATGGTGTGCCAATATACTTCTTTAAATATAAAAAAAACGAACATATTATTTTAACGGCATTAGATAATGGACACGCAAAAATTTGTGAAGTTCCGATGCAATTAATTACTTATTTAATGAACTAAGATTTATTGTAAAAGTATTGAAATTATTTTCTGTTAAAATAAAATAAATAAATTAAACCCTTGGTTTTTTGTTTTTTTTTTTGATAAATAAACATAACCTGTAATTATATTTTGAAAACATTAACAAATATCGATCATCGAAAATTGTCTTTAATAATAAACTTTTAGTAATAATAATAATCATTATTACTTGTAATTTAATATAATATAATAAAACGCAAAATAAACTATATATAAAATTCAGTCCTATTAAATTCAATTAGTTCTTATAGTTCTAAATAGATTTATGGATGACCAGTTTTGGCACAACTTGTCTCATTATCTCTCCGGTTT